GGTTTCTCAATGGATAAACAGGCTACTGTCTGCGACGATTCTACGCTGCGTCCCATGACACAACGTTGAGCGAGCAGTCAAACTAACCCGATGGATTGATACTTAAGAGTTCAAATCGCAACCCAGTTGAGGACTGGCCAATAGCGAAATGGTAGTGTTGCACTCAATAATTAAAGATTCTAGGTTCGAACTCCAGGTAGTTAAAACTCGGTGTTCGGTATGGCTGGTTGATGACGGCTAATGAGCTAAAATTGCCATTCTAGTTTCCCTTGTCGGTAATCGTCTTCTATAATATCGGTCCTCCTTTAGACGAGAATACCATATTAAATGAATGTCCGATCAAAGTTCAGAAGGTAATGAATCCCTGAGACTAAAAGTGATCTCGTGTTTGGGGAGGGAGGATGCGTGGTGGCCGTAAGGAAGGGGGAGACTTTTCCTGAGAGAGATGCTTACAAAAGCAGTTGGGACGCCGGTACCGGAGTCACTGGGGGACTACGTAATCTGACGAGCTCCAACTCATAGTAAACTAATATAAGTGTTTTGCCTTAAGTTAACATAACTTCTGTCACGTCACTGATTCCACGTCATCGGAATCTCTGGTGTTTTTACAAGTGCTTTTGCAGTCTGAAAGCATTAATATATTCCATAATCACGACAGAAACTTTCTGTCCTTTTGACGAATAAGGGCAAATCCTGATCATACTAGCTGCTTGTGAACAGTCAAAGGCGGTGGTTAAAGCGGCAGTCGATTTTTAGTCACTTCATCTACCGGCACAATGTGCCTTGTTCTAATATTTGGTAAAGATTCCTTTCATATAAAACTTTGTATTCTAATATGCATAACTACCTACTTATGTCCTTATAGTAAGCCTGTTTTATCAACTGTGACGCCGTCGTCACTAATTAAACCAGCAATAACTAGGAGCCTAATGCGAAAACGTAGACGACTGGCGCAGCGGATATCAAAATGCAGTGGTATGCTAGCGAATGCACTTGCCTAACAGCTATTTACACTTTATGTAGCATCTCTATCCAAAATGATAAAAGACAAGAAAGAACTTCAAACACCGAAACACCACCGAGGATAT